GATATCCTTGAGCATTTACAGCCAACACCGTAACAGGGGACGATGGATATCCTCTGTATAGGAGACGGTCAACTGAAGATGGAGGGACTTCGGCAACTTTAAACATGAGAATTGGTGATATTGAGGTAGACAATCGTTGAGTGGTTCCATACTCACCACTTTTGTCAAAATCATACAAAGCGCACATCAACGTAGAATATTGCAATTCCGTGAAATCGATTAAATATAACCGCAAGTACGTGAATAAAGGCAGCGATATGGCAGTTTATGGTGTTCAGGCAGAAAATGGTGACAGCAATGCAGTACGAGTTGTCGATGAAATCTCTCAATACCAGGCTGGAAGGTACATAAGCAGCAACGAGGCTGCGAATTTTTTCGGTCCCAATTCATGAACGCTATATCCAGCTGTAGTTCACTTGGCAGTCAATTTGGAGAATGGTCAACGTGTCTATTTCACAGAACTAAATGTGCAAGAAAGAGTCCTGAATCCGCCTACGACAACTCTGACTGCCTTCTTCACCTTATACCAGGATGATGCTTTTGCCATAACCTTGATGTATTCAGAAGTGCCCTTTTAACCACAATATGCCACAGAGAAACGTGGCAGGGTGCAGCTAGTCTATATATATAAAAATGCTCTGTTCGTGTCTACTCCCTTCATAGACTTGAAAAGTTCTGAACCGTTTAAGCCCAAATTTTTACACAACATGCGTTGAGGTTCCAGCTCGGTAACTGTCTACTTTTGATGTTGATAGCTTATCTGCGGTTGCGAATATATCAATTTTTTTTATCGTTTCCCCGTCCCCCTACTGCTGCGCCCTCTACAGGCAGCCAGCTGAATCAAAGCATTTCCTGTCAAACATTTAAAACATATTGAAAGAAGAAATTGGAGATACAAATTTTATTTTTTTGTTCAGGTTCAGTAAGAAACGAAGTCATGCCACCCAAGAAGTCGAGTTTGGTTCGTCGTACTCGCAATACAGAAGCAAAAAGACGTAAGATTACAAATATGACTGACGAAGAGCGGGCCTCCATCCGAGAGACTGAGCGGCTAAGAGCAATGCAGATGCACAACGTGGAATCAGCAGAAAGACGAGCAGATAGGCTTGAGAGAAAACAATTGAGAGTTAGGCAAACGCGTTCTGCAGCAACCGATTTGATTCACTCTCAAAATAATGAACGCGACAGGGCAAGGGTAGCTAAAGCTCGTTTACAGCTTGCAGCAGATCAAAACCTGCAATACAATCGTCTTGCATTCAGATATAATCCAACTGTTGATTACAGCTCGAATCGCAATGTCGTTATTGGCCGGATGCATCAGGTCTGCATATACTGTCAGGCTCCTTCGATTGAATCAGACAAAACTTCGGTCCGAGGAATATATCCATTTGCGGGATGCTGTGATGAATGACCGTAATACAACCAACGTTCGAAAGCTCACGATTTTGCCATCCTCATACATAGGTAGTCCACGCCACATGCATGAATATGCTCAAGATGCCATGGCATATGTTCGTTGCTACGGCCGTCCAGATTTATTTATCACCTTTACATGCAATCCAGCTTGGGACGAGATAGTACAGCTGTTATTTCCTGGACAATCATATTGGGATAGGCATGACATCACAGCCCGTGTTTTCAGACAAAAGCTCAAGTCACTGATGGATTTCATTGTGAAACATGGAGTTTTTGGATCTGTGCGGTGCTGGATGTATTCAGTAGAATGGCAGAAGAGAGGATTGCCGCATGCGCACATACTGATTTGGCTGTATGATAAAATTACTCCAGACGAAATCGACGATGTTATATGCGCTGAGATTCCACGGGCCGAGGTTGATAGGGATGAAGTTTTCATCAAGAACATAATCCATGGCCCTTGTGGTACCCTCAACCCATGTTCACCATGAATGGTAGACGGGAAGTGTTCCAAGCGATATCCTCGACCATTTACAGCCAACACCGTAACAGGGGACGATGGATATCATCTGTATAGGAGACGGTCAACTGAAGATGGAGGGACTTCGGCAACTTTAAACATGAAAATTGGTGATGTTGAGGTAGACAATCGTTGAGTGGTTCCATACTCACCACTTTTGTCAAAATCATACAAAGCGCACATCAAGGTAGAATATTGCAATTCCGTGAAATCGATTGAATATAACCGCAAGTACGTGAATAAAGGCAGCGATATGGCAGTTTATGGTGTTCAGGCAGAAAATGGTGACAGCAATGCAGTACGAGTTGTCGATGAAATCTCTCAATACCAGGCTGGAAGGTACATAAGCAGCAACAAGGCTGCATGGCGAATTTTTTCGTTCCCAATTCATGAACGCTATCCAGCTGTAGTTCACTTGGCAGTCAATTTGGAGAATGGTCAACGTGTCTATTTCACAGAACTAAATGTGCAAGAAAGAGTCCTGAATCCGCCTAGGACAACTCTGACTGGCTTCTTCATTTTATGCCAGGAAGATGCTTTTGACATAACATTGATGTATTCAGAAGTGCCCTCTTAACCACAATATGCCACAGAGAAACGTGGCAGGGTACAGCTAGTTGTCTATAAATTATCGACCTAATGTGCGATAGAAGAATCGTTTTATTCGTCGTTAGGCAGTTGGCCCGCAGACGGTGAGGAAATTACCTAATATTTTCTTGCTCATGGAAATTCCAATAGTTATACACTCCATGTAAATAAAAGAGATGTTTCAATTAGTTTATCGTTGGACATTCACACTGCTGACTGGCGAGGAATCGTTTCACTGCTCGTAGTTCGTCTTTAATCGAAAAAACATATGATAAAAGTACTACTCACTCACCACTATGAAACCGTAAAACTCGCTTATAATCGAGCTTGCTAGCTTGTTTCCACAGCCTAGCCCTACTTATCACACGTCCATCGTTGTCGGTTGAACAACTGCCTAATTATAGTGTAACATTACAAAACAATCATTTTAATCAACAATTGTAGACAATTGAAGTGCCCCACGGTTTTATTTTAGTCAGGTCTATGCATATGTTTATAATTCCCACGAATGTATCTATTTTATTATTTTTTGGTTTTTTGTAAATTTATCTTAAACATTGCAATGTATGTTTAACATAAAACCTTTTAACATAAAAAGTTTTTTTTACCTATTTTTATTTTATAAATGATTCAAATTGACTTTTTTTATTGATTTCTAATTTTTTATGGTATGGTAATGGTTAATTTTTTCATAAATGCAATCTAACACAGATGATAGTTTGCTATTATTGCTGAGCCAAAAATCGAAGAGATCGCTATCCCGAAATTCGAACGTCGCAAAATATTGCGGAATTGCGTGAGAAAGGGGACGAACGGGGAAAAGTTGTTAATTAATTAATAATTAATTAATAATTAATTAGCTATAAAGAACGACATATATTAGTATAAACTGACGTAATTAGTTTTTCTCAGCAGCCGTCAGGTCGTTAGTTTTATTCCACGAAACACAATGGACGCATGTTAATTTTCTATACAAAATACACATAAATTGAACATTAAACAAAACGCAAACACTAAGACAACACATAAACAGACTATATTCAGTAAAAAATACATACCTTGATTAACAAATTTCCATTACTATCAACAGTTTGTGCGGACAAAGAACAATTATTTTCACTCAAAAAAGTAAAATTACCAATTTGCCACCATTTTCTTATTACCAAACAGCTATCTGATTGTGTGGTTTCGAAAGGTCATAAAAATCTTCAGTGAAGCTTGTAAAGCTTATTTTTTTAATTTTGTTTATGTTTGATGTTTTAACTTTAATAATTTTAAATCAAAAATACAAAACAGCAACAGGAAAATTTCGAATTTATGCCAAAGAAATCAACTTCTGGACCATAGTGCACAGTCGGCAGCGAGGAGCATACATATGTATATACATGTACATGTACATATATAGAAATCGAAAAAATTGAATCATTAATTAAAAATAGAAAAAAAATTAAATTCAAGTTAGAGACCCCAATTTTGAAACACAGGATAAGTTTCTTGTTTTAAATGTGTCCGGCAAATTTAGGTTCAGATCTTATAAAAAATATAGAAGTTATTCAAGAAGAAAAATATTGTTGTTTTTATTGTTCTAGTATTAATTTTTAAGTTCATCATTGTCATCAATTTCATTATCATTAGAAAGAAATGATGTATTGTCGGGTTTCCTTACATTTAAGACAACCCGTGGTGTTCGCTTGCAACAGCTATTATTTTAACACTGAACTGTTAAGCTAACATTTTAGGTATGTAACATAGCAGTTTTATAATTTCTTAACATGGTATCATTGAAAAACCAAAATTTGCATACTCGCGAAAAATGAGTTTCTTTGTGGCGTTCTTGGCAGGGCAGTTGCGCGGTTCTAGATATAAAATATCTGCCATCATTGTTAAATAAAACTTATAACATACACACCCATCGTCTTCAAATTATAAAAAAGGAAAATTGAATAAATTAAATAAACTACAATGGAAACCACGGATGACAATACGATAGTATCAATCTTTGACACTTTTTTTAATATCAGCGATTTTATTATGGCTCTGTATCCGGATTGGATAAATAAAAGTTATCAATATATTTTCAAGGATAGAACGAGCTCAAGAAGTACACGGCGATTTAGTAACATAGGTACTTTAACCACCTTTTAATAAATCGAAGAATAAGTTTGCGGGCACTATACACGCAAAGCTTAACGTCGCCAGCTTACAGTTGTACTCCAACTAATAAGATCAACTGGAAAGCCTATTTAGTCGAGTTTCTTAAATAGAAGGGAATTGTTAGCAGAGTCAAATGCTTAACTGAAATCAGTTAATATCACATCTATCTGAAAGTTGTTATGGTAGTCCTTAAAGGATAAAGTAAACAGTTTCACAGGGCGTCGGAATAATACCTGGGCACACAGCCAGGAATTCCGGCAAGACCTGGGGAATATCCTGGCTATAAAATAATAAAATACGAATTTTGTGTCAATATTTTCAGATGAGAAGAAAGCATTGGATCTGACTTATTCCCATCCATTTCAAAGACAAGATTTCTTACCGTATAATAATTATGGACAAGTTGAAGATAATTATAAATTCTCATGTAGATTAAAAAGTTGCTGCGCTCCTATATTTGATGTCCAATCACAAAGCACTATCACATCTTGTGGAAATTACGTCCAAAACAATCCAGGTATTTATTTAATAAAAAAAATGTTTTCAATGAATTATGAAAACACATCAATTTATTTTTATTTCTAGCACACACATTTAAGAGACAATTTGTCAACAGAAAACCACGCCAGGCTTATAGTACTTTTCAATTGGAACGTTTAGAAAATGAATTCAATATAAATAAGTATCTTAGCGTTAGCAAACGAGTTGAGCTTTCCAAGTCGCTATCCTTGACGGAAGTTCAAATAAAGACGTGGTTTCAAAATAGACGAACTAAATGGAAGAAACAGGTAACATCACGCTTAAAAATAGCGCAAAGGCATCAGTTGTGGATACCAATTACACCTTCAGCAACAATACTGCCTCCGAAATATCAAAAAATTTCTTCCCACCTATGTTTTTCACAAGCCGAAGTTAAGAACCTTAAAATGGAAATAAATATATGATTGTGCAAAACTGATATTTAGCCCCTTTCGCTTATTCATATATATTTTTTTTTCAACTCTACAGTCATGTTTTTTGACGCTTTTGACTTTGTGTGTTGTGAACCTCCGGAGTTGCATTTACAACATCTATGTTGTTTTTTTTATTCTTTTTTTTTTGATCAAACTAGGTCTTTCAAAAACTGAATTTCGACTGGTGAGTCTTGTTTCCGGATCTACATGACAAATTTTGAACGCTAAGGGCATTGATTGTTCAACTTATCTTATCTGATCTACCACGCTCTCCCGCTCTCTCGCTTTCGGTGTGACTCTTCACTTCTTATCTTCATAGCTCTGTTGGGTTTTTTTTCTCTTTTTTTCAAGTACAAGTACAGTGGTAAGACTTTAAAATGTCCGGAAATATTGTTTAATTCGTCAAAACCTATTTCTGCACGTCATGCACGCCAAGTGTATTGGTGTTGCAGCTCGGACGGTGGACGATGTTAACAAAAACATCGGCCTCCGTTGCAGCGAGGCCTGTCGCGATGTAGAAAGGGAAATGATGTCTTCCATGCGGCAAACCAAAAACGGGTTTAAGTTCATTTTAACGAGTTATCGTACAATTCTTGGAATGTTCTTGGCGCTGGATACCCAATTTAATAGCCTTACGCTATTAAATGAGTCTCCTAGGCGCAAAAAACTTGCTATTGGTGGTCAGCATGTAAATGGACCCCAACTACCTACAACGGGCTCTCAAGAGCAGCCTCCCTCGGCACAGCCCTCGACCTCAGCATTAATTCCAAAAGTGCTGAGATCGAACGCTCAGCATTAATTTTAAAAGTGCTGAGATCGAGCGCTAGGAAAGATTCTGTACCCGAATGTCCAGCGGGAGTGCCCGTACCGCCGGTGATTTCTGTTTTATCCCCTGGGGGGTCGCAAATATTGACCCCTCAAAGTCCCGTGTTTAACGATATATCAGCCTAGGGTGTTAGGCCCGGAACACCGGCCGGCAATGGCACGGCAGATAACCAATCTGCCTTGCCAAAAGCCCTTATAGCGGTTCCACCAACGAGACATATTTTTGTTTCGCGGTTTTCCCCTGAACAAACAACGGAAGATGTTCTCGCCTTTATGCAAGGCAACACCATAGCTGATAAAATAAAGATTAAGGTGGAAAAGTTTAAATTTTCTTACGCTAGGGATATTTCACCTTTCTTAATAAATGTCCCTAAGGAGCTCTTTAACACTATTTGCTCTATCAACTTCTGGCCAGAGTACGTTGTTGTTAAGGAGTTCGAAGCGACGACAAAAAAAAGCGGCCTATAGGAATAACTCTTCCCAGGCCTGATCATACCACTGCGCCCTCTACGTCTTCCAATACCCGAATCAAACTTCATTTTCTGTCCTGGCCCAAACGAAAGCTCTCTACTTTTAGAACTTCGTGGTGTCAATCCAGTTTATTCGCCAGGTCCCGACGGAATTACTGGCTGTGCCCAGGTATTGTGCCGACCCCCAGTGCTATCCCCTTCTGAAATTGTTCACCTTATCCTTAGAAACCTCCCACTTTCCCATTATTTGGAGGGAATCGTCTATTGCTCCTCTCAATTATAGAGGAATCTCTAAGTTGTCGGCCGGTCCGTAAACTATTTGAAAACATTATCACCCTTCATGTTTATGGGGAAGACAACGAATTTGCCACCCTTAAGCAATAATTACAACGCACGAATAGGTTAATTAAATGCTGTGTATATTTTCGTTCACTTCTCTGGTCGGAGCTGCAACTACCGATCGAATTATTGACTTCAACATATATATCAAAACGCTTACAATGTAGCTTAGCATAGATAAGGCGACAGAAGAAGAGAGAGAGAGAAATAGATAAACAAAGAGAAGTTAAGAGCGCAGCAGGTGCAGCCATACACCCATGCGCGCACGATTAGGCGCTAGCGGTCTGCTCCGAACATACTCCCCCCGTTGCAAGAGGTACTGTTTCAACTTCATCGGCATCGTGGGGCAGAACGGCTAGCTTGGCGATTTTGTGGATCCTTGACGACGGCAGCTGAGACAGACTGAGGAGTTGACGCACTCGGCAGCCCTCCAGACACGATCCAACCAAGTTTGGTGTTCTGAAGGGTTGGCAACGCGCTACCCAAATAAATTTGTCCCGTAGCCATTATTTTGAAGAAGACTCCAGCACCAATTATAAGATCAATCCGCTCTGAACGATTAAAATGAGGATCAGCAAGCGAAATATTTTGAGGAATTTTCCACGATGTGGCATTTATGTTAAAATAAGGCTGATAATCAGCGATACTGTCAGTCACAACCGCGGAGAATGAGGCACGATAGCTTGCATCCTGGGATTGCGCTACAATGTCGACTGCCGTATCGGAATTCAGGGAGGATTCCCCAATCCCAGCGACTAGGGTATGCGACTTTCGACAATTCAAATTAAGTTGATGCGCTATACGAGACGTTATGAAGTTTAGTTGAGACGCCGAGTCTAAGATTGCTCGGCAAGGCATAAATTCTCCAGCCTTGTTTCTCAATTATATGATCGCGGTTGGAAGCAACACGTAATCAACAGGCAAAATATCTGTGGGGCTTGGTGGAGGGTTCGATGAATGGTGATTAGGTTGGGATGATGAATGCGATGATGAATGCGATGATGAATGTGATGATGCTAATGCTGATGAAAATGATGTTGATGGCTGAGAGTTGGAATATGGATCGGATGATAGAGATGAGGTGGTGGATGGTACAGATGGGTCCAGATTAAAATGCAACAATGAGTGGTGCTTCATTCGACAGTATCTGCAGTGCGTTGACTTGCATTGCTGCAAACTATGCCCCTTGCGCAAACAGTTGAGGCACAGGTGCAACTTCTTTGCTTCTCTAAATCGAAGATTCGGGCTCAAATTTAGAAATTGAGAGCATTTTGGCAAATAATGATCCCTCGCATCACAAAACGTACATAGGGGAAGATTTGAGCTACCAACTGAAGCAATGAAGCTATACCCATGCAGGGCTTTTCCCACCTGCCGGCTTGGTGTTTGCGTTACCAAGGCTTGATCCGAATTTTCCATAATCCTACACCTTCTTTGCAAGAACGACTCCATAGAATCCCACGTAGCTAGGTTGTTGATGGACAAATCCTCCTCCCATTTTTCCCGCGTCCTCTGATCGAGCTTCCGTGCGACGATGTGAATCAGCAATCCGTCCAAGATTTGTTGCGTAGTGGCCAGGGTACGGCAGTAGTAGGATAATACGGATCCTGGCCCAAAAGTAATAAATCAATGTCAAAAAAGGGGGTGGGGGTGACCCTAATTAGTCACGCATGGCTGCACACAGGTGTCTTAATGACCTAATTAGCATACGAAAGGTCACTTAATTAAGTTAGAAAGGGTGTGGGGGTGACCCTAAAAAGTCACGTATGGTTGCACACAGGTGTCTTAATGACCTAATTAGAATAAAAAGGTCACTTAATTAAGTTAGAAAGGGTGTGGGAGGGTGAGGATCACCCCAAAGAAATGGTGAAAGTGGGTGAGGTGTTTTGTCATGTCTTGTCTTGTCTTGTTTTTTTCTCACTCCAAAGGTGTGTGTGTGTGAGGGGTGTTTTCTCATGCGTAAAAATGTGTGGTTGTTTAGAGTGATCTTTAGCCGAATAGGGAGTGTAGGAGTGTGAGAGAGGGGTGTTTTGTGATGCGTACGAATTTGTAAAACGATATTTAGGTTGAGTATTAGGAGGAGGAGGAGGGGGGGAAGTTGTTTTATTATGCGTGTCCGTTTTGTTGATTCAATTAGGGTTGTAGATGATATCTGTTAGTGTAACCTGTCTTCAGTGATCTTGTGAGAACTTCGAGAACTTCCCCCTCTTTAGCGAGCATTAGATGGGAAAGTGTGCGTGAATATCTAAAGTATGGTGCTTCTAACTTGTATTAAGTTAAGGGGAGGGTAATCTTAAATGTTTCAATTCTATAGTGGAGGGGGGGGGGGGGGGGGTGGTGGTGATGGTGGTGGTGGTTCCTAACAGAATATATACAAAAACAAATGAGATCGTTTATTTAGTCAAATACGTTTTTATTTAATCATATTCGTGTTACATTAGTTTCCATTCAGTTTTTTAAACAATTTAATGTATCGTTCCATCAGTTTTAAGGCATCTTCTTCTTTCTTTTCAACATGCATACACCTGCAGGTGTCAGGTCCGACTTTACAATCATCATATGCCCATGCGCAGGATGATAGGTGCTCTCCATACTTGGAATGAATTACGGGGGTGGCTTCAACATCTTTAAAAAATGTATGAAATGATTTCAACTTCGAAACATGTTCCTTGAAGATCTCACTCCCATGCTCCTTTAAAAACTCTTTAATTTTTGAGGAAATCATTTTTTTTTTTTTTTTTGTTTTTTTTTTCAACGTAATAGGCTGAATGTTTATCCTAAACTAAAGTCTGCTGGATATAAATCTTTGTATTATACTTGGAAAACAGATGTTAAAAATGCAACGGCTGTTGATAGACAAACTCTCGAAAACGAATTCAAAACCACAGATTTTGTTTTTTTTTTTTTTCTCTTTATTTAAGAATTTCAATATATGATGAAATTAATTTTCTAACTTTATATTGTTGAATTACAAAATGAAAACAAGCACACGTTTCTATATTATCATTAGAAAATTTACATAAATTTAAATGTTCTCCAAATGTTGTTTTTAACTCCTTCACGTCAATACTAATGAACATGTTCCTTGACTCCAGCAGTAATTTCAAGTCCTCTTTTGAAATCATATTTCCAAATGTATTAATAAATAAATTAATTTTATTTATCAGGGAAGAATAATTCGGTATCTTAAGATTGTTATTAGAATCCGACATTTCGTAAACTTCTTTTCTCGACTCTCAAGTTGTGAAAGAAATGTTGAATGTTGAAAAGTTGTTGTTGTTGTTGTTAGCAGTTTTCTTGTGCGTAAAAGTTTAAGATTTTATGAGCATTGTTGAGTGAGCAGACACCATCTCGAGC